CTCTTGCATGCCCCGTACCTGGATCAAGTCTGCAACCCTGTAATTGAACTGGCAACCTTTGGGTACATAGGACAATGCCAAACCAACTGAGTCACACCAGCCAGCTTATACATTTCTAAAACATGTTAGTGACTCCTTTATCTTGTCTAGGAGCCCTACTCCCCAGGATTAAGCTTTGTTTACAGTATGATTTATATCCTTCCACACTCTCTCTATGCACATAAAAATATAAATGCATTATTTCCAAGTCAAAGAATGTTAGTTATTTAAGAATTTCTCACATATTTCCAATGCACTTATTCTTAATAATGACTAAAGGGAGAAACGAATGTTCATCTGACCTCTCAGTCCCTCCTGAGTTGCGGGCACTATGGCGACTCAGCACTGACTGCCACTGCCATGGGCAGGTGCCATGTGATTGTTCGGGGGCCCCTGCCATCGCCCCTCAAACGCCCCACAGAGGGAGGCCCAGTCTACCCAGCTGGCAGCAGTGGGTGAGGCCTCTCTCTGCAGGGCAATCAATCGCGGACCTCCCAGACTGCGAGAGGGCACAGGCTGGGCAAAACGATCCCCCCCCCCACTCCTGCCGAGTGCACAAATTTCATGCACCGGGCCTCTAGTCCTATATAATAAAAGCCTAATATGCTAAGTGTCCTGTTATCTGATGACCAATTGACTGTTCAACCAATCAAAGCATAGTATTCTAATGATATGCTAATGCCACTCAACTGATCACTCTCACATGCACTGACCACCAGGGGGCAAACAGTTGACTGCTCGACCAATCGCCATGATGTGCACTGACTACCAGGGGGCAGATGCTTTGAATGGTAAGTTAGATTGCTGCTGGGGTCTGGCTGATTGGGACTGAACGAGATGGTGCCAGGCATGCCCTGAAGCCCTCCCATGGCCTCTCTCTGGCCCAACTGTTCACCAGTGGGGTCCCTTGGCCTGGCCTGCCTGCACCCTCTTGCAATCCGGAACCCTTTGGGGAATGTCAGAGAGCCAGTTTCAGCCGGATCCCACAGGCCACTCCCCTTGGGAGGGTGCCAGATGCAGGGCTCATGGCTGGAGGGG